CGAAAATTATGAATACCGATACATGTCAGTGGCTATAACATATTTTTAATATAAAATATTGTGTTTAAATATTAACAAGTCTTTTTACATTTTTCCCACAATTTTTCTTATACAATGTAATACTGAGAATACTCGAATACCCAAATACTGTGAATTTAAAATCGTTAAACCCCGTAGTATTAAAAAGTATTAAAAAGTGGATGCTAACTCCTTTAACAAAAGAGATTTTAGGTTATGGAACTCCTTCAAACCTAAAAAAATATACATCAACATAGTATTAAAGAATATCTTCTTATTATTATTATTTCTACTATTTGAAAAAATCATTAAGATAACCTTCATAATTTCACAAATTCCCCTAGAATTATATAAATGATATTTGTTTCTTAACAAATAACTAAAAACAACAAATAGCAGCAAAATTATAAAAAAATACTACCACAAAAATATGTATAAAGAGTAAGAAAAAAGAAGGACACAAAAAAGAAAATGATATTGCTATGGCAAATCATCATCATTATGTGTGAATACGAATAATATTAAAATAAAACGATGAAAAACCTCACAATTTTATGGATAATGTGTTCGTGTTGTTGGTAGATATATATGTAATTATTGTAAATAATTGTCATTTAAAAAGAAAGAATACACACAGCATTAGACATGTATATGTAAGAAGATATGGTGGCTTTAAACAGTATATAATAAAAAATGAATCGATTAGTATTTAAAAATATTTTTATAATATGTAAACATAGATATTCTGGTTTATAAAATAATATTTCAAATTAGAATATAACTGTTAAAATTTTGTGTAGTTAAAAAAATAATTAGATTCAAAATAAAATACAATTCTAATAAAATAATTTTCCGAAAAATATACCAAAAATCACAAAACAGGATTATGTTAGCAAAGCATATGTAAGTAAAAGTGATGATGAATGTTAATAATGAATGTTTTCCATTGATTTTGCTTTGATTAAAAACAATATTTAAAAAAAAATACATATAAAGACATTCTTCTAATGTTACCGAAAAGTAGCTTAAATATATATAAAAAAAATTAATTAAGATAAAGGCAGAATTAAATTAATAGTTTTTGTTTCTAAATATATGTATGAAAAAGATACAATAGTTTTATGGCAACAATAAAACCCCAATAAAATGTCTGCATTATCTCTTTTGGAATTTTTCTACTATATTATTTGATTTTTTTTGTTCTAATTACAAATAAAAACATGAATTTTCAAATTCATTTTTTGACTTTTTATATTTACTGTCATAACTCTCATTAAAATTATTGTTTTGGAAAATATTTTCAAAATCCGTATCACAAAGACTCTTCTTATTAATACATATAATATCTTGACGGCAAACTATTCGAAAAAAAAAATCCGTTTGGAATCATGGCAATCCATTTGGAATCAAGTTTAGTGCGAAACATATAAATATTGAGCTAGATTAAGCGGGAATTTTGTACATCATATTTCTAAACTGTGATATTGTTAATCAAAGTGCAGACTATGCCAAAATAATCTTAATAAAATGGCTAAATAGATAAATCCACAACACAATTTTACTCTGGTTTCTCAAACATCAGGTCTATAACTCAAAAATCGAATTGCGGGACTAGTGAAAATATGTCGTTCACGAAAAGGACTTTTTTCGTATCTGGGTGATACATACATTACATACCCGACCCAGACCTTAGAGTTTCTGGAAGCATTGCAGAAGGATTGAATCAGGTAAGAGTTGCCTAATCTATGTGTTCAGAGACACATTTTATTATTATTTTAGATCGAATCTATAAGTGCCATTAAGGAGACAAATGATGGATGAAATCAATACGTCTTTTTTAAAACTACAATGTAACATTTCCAATTTGAAGATATAATATATAAATACAATTGACTAAAAATGACTTTTATATCTTCCAAAATGCCCTTGGCACTTATATTCATACGAGATTTTTATTCATTTTTTTTTTCATTTCACTACAATTTATTTGTTGCATCAATATATTTATTGAGGTTTTACATAAATTTAGTTTAAAGGCTTTATTTATTGTTAATAAAAGAATTTCTAAATACAAATATGTACGTAAATAAGCCAAATTATTTGAATGCTTAATATTTTGATAATAAAAGGCCAAATAATTGTTATTTTCATTAAAAGTTATTACAATAGAACTGGATTCTAATACATTAAGGTGGCAGGCATAGGGGGTGGTGGGTAGTAAATGGTTTATGTTGTCTTTGGAATAAATTTGGAGATGGTTTTGCTATTGGTTCATTTGGGCTTAATTAAATACATATAAATGGTCTTTTAGTTTGATTTTTTATCTTAAAAAAATTATATATACAGACGTCTTTTTTTTGTTTGGTTCAATTCGAAGGAGGGTAAAAAACACAAAATTTTGTTGGTAGCTTCAATTTTTTTTGTTCAAACGAAAAAAAAACAACAAAATTATGTTGTTTACATGAATAGGATGCGTTTTTGTTGGTTTTTTTAAGGAAGGGCTGAAGGATTTACATATATAAACAGTATAAAAAAATAAAAATAATGTAATAATGAGAAAAAAACATAAAAACAAATTTTGTTTTGTTTTTGTTTTAAATACTAATCGATTCCTTTTTTTTGTATTAAACTTCTTCTCTTTCAAACGAAAATATAATAGAAAGTTCATAAAAAACATTACATACACACATACATTTCTCAAAAAAGAGCTATCCATAGAGAAAAACAAACAAAAAGATAATAAACAATTGATATGATAATAAAAATAAATTGATATGATTTATGTACTTGTTTGATGTTATTTAAGAACAAAAAATACAAGAGAATGTGTAATAGTTATGTGAATATTATATAAGTGAAAAGAAATGTAAAAAACATAGATTGAAGAGAAGTTAGAAAAACCATAGACAGTTATGCAGCAAATATATAACAGTACTAATAGAAAAAACATGCACTCAATTTCATGTCTTCACTTTTTTTTAAACAACACCTATTCCTAAGCAGAAACAATCAATCACACAAAAATATGAGATTTCATCAATAATTGCTTTAAGATAATATACTATCTTCTTTTGCTTTGAACGTGATTTCAATTTAAAATGCATTTGACTTTACTTTAATCTTTATTTATTTTCTTTTTTTTCTTGTTGTTAAAAATAAAATACAAAAAATAAACAAAAAACACACACAGAGTTCAATTAACGGAAAATCTTAATATTTAGCAAAAAAAGAGAAAAAATTAAAACGAAAAAACTAAAAAGACAGACAAACAATTAATTTATGTTGTTTGTCTTTTTGTGTTCGAAACTAAAAATTAAAATTATTATTATTAGGAAAAAGTGTATTTATTGTTCTCTTTAACATTTTTGTTTCTCTAAGCATAGAAGTTGTTTAAAAAATAATAAAAACAAAAACACATAAAACTAAAGGAAAATATAAATTTTTACTAAAATAAAGTTAACAATTTCCATTTTAAAAGTTAAGATTTTACATATTTTTACTTAAAATAAAAAAAATTATATAATATTAGCTGTTTAAAGTAAGGATATTAACTAAGGTAGAAAAGTAACTAAATTTTTAATGTGTTAGCAGTTATTATTATCGGTTACGTTATGTCAAGTCAGATAATTGGAATTGTAGGAATGCATATCGTAAGTGATTATGGGCTAGGTAGGAATGTCAAAGACAGCGCTTTAAATATAATACTAAATCATTCCTCATTTTTATGGAAAAAACATTTTTCTATTCACGTTTTAACAGGAAAGGAATCATCTGACGACATCTATTGGGGAATAGTTTAATTATTCAATAGGTCTGTAGTATTAAACATAAGTTTGACATTCAAATGGGATTGAAAGAATGGGTCATTTCCAAGCGTGTTTTGAAAATGTTTGAACATTTCGTGGTTTTTGTAAAAAATCATTTTGCCATATTTGCATTGACAAATTCTAAATTACTTATTAGAAAACAAAATGTTATTATCTATAGTTTATATAGAAATTAATCATATTCAGAAATCTTTATGTTCACTATTCATTTGATACAGGCAAATGAAAGAAATAAAGTTTTAAAATTAATGCAAAAAGAAAAAGCTCAACATGAATTCATGGAAAACAAATGAAAATGCTTAATAAATCAAGGTTTTTTTGTTCAATTCAAACGTCTAACGGATTTTTTAAATATATATTTTAGTGAGTGCCTAACGAATTGAATGCATTCCCCTAATTCCATAACTTTGTTAATATGTTACATCTGATGTGGGAATTTTATTTTTAATATAGATATAGAACCCCATATAAAATGCAGCATATAAAAAATATTGAACATCTGACGACTGTGCTAACTGTGTACGTGTGGCGATGGTTGGTTTGGTAGGACGCATTAGAAGACAAAAGTGCATTGATAGTCCAATAATAATTATGGTTATAGAAAAACAGCATTAAAGATGTAAATGATAACATACAGATGTACGCATGTATTATAGTACTTAATGGAGCAGAGAAAAAGAAAAACAAAAAACTATTTTGTTATAAAAACTAAGACACAAAATTATAAACTATAAATAAAAAAATAAAACATAAATGATAGTATTAAAACAAAATATTACATAGTCTTTTTGTGTGTACTGAGTAGTATTTGATAGTTGTTTTGTTTTTTTTTATAATATGTACTAATACTAATTATTGTAGAGAGTTAAATTAAATTAAAAATGTAAATCTTAAAATAATAATTATAATATAGTAGTGTATGGTGTAGTGGTGTGGTTTAAATCATGTTGTTTTTAGCTTTTTCGGGGAGGAGGGAGAAGAATTTGTTTGGTTTTTTTGTATGGTCGAATCATGAACTCATTGTCTTCGAATTGTTTTGACAATGCAATAACAAAAAACAGTAAGTGGTAGTAGAGTGTGTGAGAGAGAGTGAAAGACATAGATTGATTGATTGGTTGGTTGTTTGTTTTGTTTGGTTTTAATGTTTTTTCTCACCTGGTAAATTTGGTAGCGGTTTGGCGTGCTGAGTGCCACGAGCGCTGGGACGTATTTGTCCCACCCCACGGACCCCCCCGATTGCTGCCTGAGCCCCCTGAGCGGTGGCCCCCCGTTGAGCTGCCACCGCCGCCGCCACCACCGCCGCTTGAGGGGCCCCCTGACGATTGATGTTGCCACGGAGCCCAACGGTTCGGCCACGCGCCGTGATTCCACGCCCACGGCCAACCCCCTGCATTGCACAAATGCACATACACACATACATTTAATTTATTTTACGAGTACCAGCAAAAAGCCATATAGCAGTAGTTAAGAAGGCATCATCATCATCATCGTCATCAATTACCATTTCGATCGCCGACATCCACGTGGAATTTTATTCATGGTATAATATCCAAGGAGGGAAGGTCCATTTTAAGCCATTTTTCATTCAAACCATATTTGATATATATTCGTATTATATAAAGTATATATATGGATCGCCAAGTTTTTTGTTACAATTTTGTTTTTGGGTGGGGCGGTATTAATTTTGTTGTTGATTTTTTTTTTAAATTAATATTAAAAATATAATTTGGAAATGATTTATATTTATAATTGTTTGGAAAGGAAAGACAGAGGAGGATATTTTAAATAAAATAATAATGATGTTTAATGAGTTGAGATTTTCAAGTTGGGGGACATTGTGAGGGTGGGTAATCATAATTTTGTTGTTTTTTTTTTGTATGTTTTTCGTTTTAATTGTAAAGACCAACGCAATAATAACAATTTGTTAAGAATTTGGGGTAATATTTCAACGGTTTGATGCCATCAATTCAAATTGATTATGTGAAGGGAGAGTAGATAGAGACATTACATATTTTTTTTTTGGTTGAATACATAATTTGATTTGACGAACATATATATAATTTTTTTAAGACGATTTTTATATAGTATCGTTTGCGTTTACCGACATTGTTTGAGATTGAGAGAGAGAGAGAGAGTATTTAACATAAAAAAGAAAAAAGAAAAAGAAAAAAACAAAATCGATAATGAACGCGTTAGAGATTTGGTTTTAGTGTTAAAGTTTTTTTGTTTTAACAACTTGTAGAAAAAAATTATATTCATACATATGTTTATAGAGTATAATACAATGAAGTTGTTTTGTTTTTCATTCTAAATTATTTCATGATTTTAACAAACTAAAAAACAAAATACAGATATTAAAAATAGATAAGGAAATAAAATGTAAAATATAAAGAAAAAGTATATATGTAAAATAAATAAATAGCAATTCAATGATTTGGGTTTTTATGTGTAAACACTTTTTTCATTTTACAATATAAAAATTATTGTAATAATAAAATTAATATCCATAAACTAATATAACTAATTGTACCAATTAGCAAAATTAATAATATCACTAATATTTTGCTTTTTTAGATTCTTGTAAAAGTAAAATATGAATTAAAATATATAAATTGAAATATATAAAAATGCAATAATAAAGCTGCGAACATAAAAGCTTTTGTAATATATGTAAGGAATAAAATATATAATACTAATACTATTTTATGTATGCATGTTTATCAAAACGAATACATTTTATTCCTTACTTTTGCATAGCTATAAAATTTAATATTAAAACGTTGCTTGGTTTTATTGCCTTTTGAATATTAATTTCAAATTTTTAAATTTCTTTGCATACTCTGAGGATGATGTGAAATCGTAAACTTTTTTTCTTAACGAGAATATTTTAAAGGTCTGATATTTTAAATAATATCCATGTGGCAATCAAAGTTTGTAGGAACTTTAAAATGAATTTAAATATGTACATTTCAACTTGATGTAATTGAAAATTTCAGTTAAAACGACAAACTATTGAATCTTATGGTTAGTTTCCACACAAATGCCATTTGAATTTGTTTAATATTGAATACAAGAATTTGGTTCCAAAAGTTATTTGAAATTGCTTAATTTAACATAAATTTAAAGCGCCCAAGTGAGCTTTTCGAATGCGTACATCTCCTTATATATTATCAGGGATCGGAGGAGCTATAACAACATATTTTCGGTTAATATGTAAATTTAAGTTTGGATCCCAACAGACAATAATAATGCTCATCCCTGATGGGATAGATTGTGAAATCAAGAATTTACCCACAAGATATAATTTTAGGTTGATCTCCATTAAAAAAATGTCCACTTTTATATCATTAACAAATTATGTTCAAAAGACAATAAAACAATAACTTAAATTAATTAAATAAAAACAAAAGAGTTTAACATTATAAATAAATAGCACTTTGGTATTCAGCTCATGAAAAATAAGAATTAACATAGAAAAAAACTTAGCTTAAAAATAATACAAAATAAGCAGTTAAAAAAAATTAGTAAACTTAAAGCAATGAAATATAATTAAAAATCACAAAGCAAAGCGATATTAAAACATAAACAAAAGCAATGAAAAAGTGCAAAAATTAAAATAAAAAGCTTTTTAAAAAAATAGGAACTATTTTGTGGTGTTAGAGTGTGGGAATGTGATGTATAAAAATTAAACCGTTAGGTGATAATGGTATGTGTGAAATGTATAGATATAAAAACTGATAGGTTGGATGGATTGAATGGATCTATGGTTGGTTGTTGTTGGTTTGTTGACTGGTTTGATTGTTTTGCAGTTATTTTAGGTTATGGTTAATCTTGGTCTATGAACGGTTGGTTGGAGAAAACTATTGCATGTGGATGTGGGCAAAGACATAACAGACAACACATTATTGCTGACTGGCTGACTCACTAACTATCGACATTGTTTTTTTTTTAATGTAACGAATTTAAACTGAAAATGCTTTGTCAATTTTTAATTTACATAGTTTTTGTCATAATTTTGAAATAAAAGCCTAAAGATTAGTCTAAAGTAAAAACAGGATGAAATTTGAACGCGTAATCTAAATTTGTTGAAAGGAAAATCCATAATTTGCAAATTATTGATTGCATCTGTAGAAATTTTGTTTGGAACAGTTGTTGTAGTTGTAATAATGATTGTGATGTGGTGGTGTAAAATGATGAACAAATTTGATTGGTTGTCCGTGTTCTTTTGGATTTTGGGTTTTTGTTTTTGAAAAAAAGTTGGAAAAACAGATACATTAAAATATAATAACACAAAAATCAATTTTTAATATTTAAGAGAAGTTTTGGAAAAACAAAAACTTTTAAACAAATTACAAAGTAATAAAAAATTATGAAAACAACTAATTTTAATAAGAAAAAATAAAAATTATTTAATAACCCACCACATTTGTACGTGCTGTTCTCGGCAAACCACCGGCGGCGCCGGCAACAGGACCCCCACCACCAATGGCACCGGGTGGCAATGGCGCCACGCTGCCCGGTGGATAATCAAAGAAATATTCTCCATCATAGGTACGATAGAAATCTTCATAATAAGAATCTGGATAGGCACCGCGATAATCCGAATAACCATAAAAGTCATATTCATAATCTATAAAAGTTTTTTTTTGTTTTAGTTTTTAAGGAAGGATAAACAATAGTTGTTTAGGTTTGTTTTTGTAATTTTTTTGTATGGTTTCGTGTTCGAGAGGGGGAAATCATAAAAATGAAAGAAATTTTGGAAGCCAAAGTTAAAAACACAAAATTGCAAAAAAATTAAATATGTGAAAAAAAAAAACAAATTAATAAAAAAACCGTTATAAATCAACTTTATAAAAACAAACATATTAAATTAAAACACTGAAAATTTACTTTACTACAACTAATAATTCAATTGTTTTTTTTTCTTCTTAAATTTATCGCGTTTATTAAAAATCATCCCAACAACGTGATAAAAATGTATGCTTAAATATATGTATGCTTTAAAATGATCACACTATGAAAGTGTTGCTCTACCGAATGTATATACAAATATATTATCTTTGGTTTAAACGTCTAAAGCTATCTATTTTTTTAATTTCAGGGGTGAATTTGGAAGGAGTATTGTCGTTTAAAATTATTTATTGGAAAACTATTAGATATTTTATCAGGGAAGTGATTTTAGTAAACTATACAACTGAAATAATCACCTTTGATTAAATTAAAAAAGTGAATTGGATTATTATACAATTTGAAGTAATATAAGGTTTCTAGGAATATTTTTGAAGGACAGAATTCATAATCTCTTCTTTCGGAGGTTGTTTTATGGCATTATAGATCAAAATCACCTTAAAAGCTAGAGATTAGACTGCAGCGTCCGGTAAAGAGGCCCACAAAAGTTGGATTTAAAAATAGGATGTGTCGTTGTTCATTGCGATTACTGATGGGGAGGAAACGTTTACTTTGTTAAAACTTAAAAAAAAAACTGGACTAAATTTTGATCCATTATTATTTTGGTACCTTTTTTGAGGTACATTGCATACTTTTTTTAAAAAAGTCTGTAAAACGTAAAGTAATTTATTATCGCGATCTACTCAATAATGTTCTTAAATATACATTTTTATCACTTTGGCTTGATTAAAACTAACTAGAAATAAATACTAAACAAAAATCAAAACTACTTTCAAAACGATTTACTATAAAATAATGAAATTATATGCTTTGCTTAAGGACTTAGGGTGAGTACAAAATATTGTATTCTCTTCTTCTTCTTTCAGTCTTCAAAACAACGGGGAAAGGTGGGATAACTTGGCTTTTGTTTTACAAAATTCAAATAACAATCATTTGGCCTTGATTTTCATTTGCAGGATGGATATTTTTGTTTACTTTGAGAAAATAAGTCAAATAGAAAACTAAAAATTTAAATTCGGGAAAAACTAAGTGGTTGAAAACAAAACAACAATATTTTGATTGTGTGAAATTTTTATTCCATTTACAATTCAGTAGAAAAAACAACAGAGTTTAAAGAACCAAACTTTTTGGGAAAAAGTAAAAACACAAAATTAGTTTAAAGAACAAACGAGTGCTCAAATGTTGAATTACTTTCTTTCGATTTTGATTGTATGATATATATATAATATAGAAATATATCATGACAACACTTCACACCATAATTGTGTTTTTATGGTAGGAGACACAACAAAAATTACTTACCGGCAAAACATCAATAAGTATACTGGGTGTTTAACATTTGCTACACAGAGAACAAACAACAAACACAAAATTGCAACATTTAATTACACAAAAAATATTTATATATTTTTTTTGTGAATAGATTTCATTATGATTTGCTGGATTTGGTTTTTTTTATTTTTAATTTGGGTTTAGGATTTGATTTTAACGGAAAATGAGCAGTGTATTTTTCTTGAGTAAATATTTTGCAGACATAAATGGAATAAAAATTAACACTCAAGTGATTTGTTTTCTCTTTTTTTTTCTTTTTGATAAAAATTTAGTAAATATAAAGTAACAAAATTTGAGCATGCAAATTAAGAAATTGGAAAACAGATGATAGTTTTATGACAATCGATGATTTAGTTTTTTTTGCGGTGTTATGGTAAAGAAAATAAAATGATAATTAACTGAGAATGGATGAAGAACAAAGATGAATGAATAAAGTTTTACAACAGTGCAAAAGTTATTTAAAATACATTTATGACAAAGAAATACAACATTTCTAATTATAAGAGAATAGAATGTTAATGAAAAGCATACAACAATGAATTTCATATTCTTTTTAAATTTTGAATGATTTAATAATTGAAAATAAAAAAAAAATAACTCAAAGAAACACAACAAAATCAATAAAATGCATAAAAAGCTGAAACGTTATCCTTAAACTTAATAAACAAATAATTAAATAATTGAAATCTAAAAACTAAAATATTTCTAATGTCTATAAATAAAGTTATGTTTTAAAATAAAAAAATAATAAAAAGGAGCCCTATATAAAAATTGAAATAATACTAATGTTTCTTTTGTAATTAAGGAATCATATTGAAACTAAAAAATATATAATAAATATATCAACAGCAAAAATATAACTAAAAACTATAATTAATTATCCTATTTTGTTTTATTGTTTACAAAAGATTTTTTTGATTCAATATTGAAAATCAAATTAAATATATAAGATTTTTGTATTAAAATTTCCAATAATTTAGCACGTTTTTCTTTTTCTTCTTCTTTTCTTGCTTATTTGTAAACGTAGTCAAGGAAATATGTTTTTTTTTTTTTTTTTTTGTTAATATAAGAAAAAATGTTAAGACTTACCATAGTCCCTGGGCATTGAAGTGCGTAACGGAATCCTTGGAGCACCGGGTAAACGCATAGGCGTAGCTATGGGTATCATGCCAGGATGTGTTGGTGATAGATTTCTGTATGGAGACAATGTTTCAAAGCTTTGTTTTAAAATCACACACGCACATCATAAAAACAAAAATATGTATATATTATGATTTTGTTTTTTGTTTAGATACAAAAATAGTCGCACAGTTGGTGATTGGTAGTAGAGTGGATATTATTTTTTTGTTGTTGTTATCGGTAGTAGAGTGGTTGGTGGTAGTAGTAGTAATAGTAGGCAGAAGTCACAACAATCGTTGGCAAATAATAAAATGGTGGCAGTAGTATTGGTATATATTCGGTTTTTGTTCATTAATAAACGGGCAATAGAATGAAAATAATAAAAAAAAGAAAAAAAAGGATAAAATAAATTAATAAAACAATTGTGACTATTGAAAAAGGATTTACATACATTAATAGTAGTGTTGCACAGGAAAGAAACATAATGAAATGTAAAATTGGACCGAATTTATGTAATTGTATACCTCTTAGTTTTACAATATTAAGCAAATATGATCAACTTCTACTGTAGTGCACAGTTGATAGTCCTTTTCTGAACGCTGTAAATGCTATCCTTACATTAATTTACAAAATATTATAAATTCAATTTCAAAAATCTAAAGACTTTTGATGAATTTAAATATGACTATATATGATATTTGTTTGCGAAAGATGATTTGCGTTCACAAAAAAGAACCATATATGTATTTAGTTTATTGGGGTGTAGTATCGGTATTGAACAACAAAATTGCTTTTATAGAGATTACATTTTTTTTGCGTTAACTAAGCAATCCTTAATATTGTAAATGGTAAAAGCCATACAAATTTTAAAGGGGATTGGAGCCAGATTATTTAATTTTGGTCGAAATGTCATTTGTCAATGTCAAGTTTCGTTTTAGGGTTCTTTTAATTCTTGTTATATGCCAAATTTTCTTGAATTTTGATGCTTCATTGTGTTTAAGTGTATATCGTAATCTAAAATCTATATATTTTTAACCTACCCTACAAGACCGGGACGTCCTTGCATCATTTGCATCATACGGCGTTCACGTGCACGCAATATTTCCTCCTTTTTCTTTTTATCCGATGGTGGTTTTGCCAAAGATACCTAAAATATTCAGAATAATATATAAATATATACTTAGTATTCTACAATAGTCACTAGCATACCTCCATATTAGAAGCACCAACTTCTTTGCCATTCAATGCTCTCATTGCCACAACAGCGCTATCACGATCCTCAAAATGCACAAAAGCATAGTCTTTAATTTTCTTAACACGTTCAACTTTGCCATATTGCTCAAATTGTTCCTACGAAAAAAACAAATAATAATAACATGACATTAAAGTATTTACTAAGGAGATAAATAATACAGGGTGAAACGAAAAAACTGCAACCAACTTCAAATTTCTAAGCCACTCGTCCGACAGCTATTAAAATTATCCCAGTAATAGCTCATTATATTGTTTACAAGCGTACAAAACATTTTGGTGAGAATTTTCCAGAAAAAAAAACGTAGTCGTGATGGAATTCAAGCGTGATCGTGTGATTTCTTTATATTTGGCTGGAAAACCACAAGTGGCTATCGTTAGAGCACTCCAGCATTTAAATGTGAATAAATCTTTTGTGTCTCGTACCATCGCTCGTTACCGTGATACTGGTAGCGTAGCCCGACGTCAAGTTAACAAACAAAATTATCGTGTTTACTTGCCAAGGAGGTCAGCTGAAAATGTGCACCTTCGGTTGGCCACCAGAACTCAAGCGCTGGCCATGGTGATTATGTAGGCCGCCATAACAGCCGATTGTCGTCTTCCGCTCGTATTAATCGACCGTGGCATTAGAATAAATATTCTGGAGGGTGTATTAAAACCTTGGGCACGCAAACATTTTGGCCGCAGACCTTGGACATTCCAACAGGACTCAGCACCATCGCAATCAGCAGGCGCCACCCAAGAATGAGGTGCCTCACTTCATTTCCAGCGCACAATGGCCACCAAAATCTCTGGATACCAATCAGTTACACTATTGAGAATGGAGTATTTTGGAAAGCAATGTCGATCACATCAAGCAAGCGCTTCGCTGGGAATGGGTCAAAATACCGCAGAGCAACATTCGGGCAGCGTGTGACGGTTTCATTGGCCGTTTGAAGGCTATAATTCGTGCCAAAGTTGACCAATTCGAACAATATTTTTTGCTCTTATTCAATATAATAAAAAAAATGTAAAAATTATGGCGTTTGACTTTGTTGCAGTTTTTTATCTCACCCTGTACTATCCAAAGTAATGAATTCATATTTTAAAATACTCTTAAGGACATACCTTTAATTTATCTTCTGTAACATCCTGTGTTAAGTTTCTAACGTACAAGACTTTAACTTTGGACATTGTTTGTTCATCCGGCTCCTCCTGTGGATCTGCCCAATCGACAATAATATCACATCCCCAAACCTGTGTAGGAAAAGGAAAAATTAATTAGTATTTAATTATTTTTGTATTTACTTGTAATATTTATCCAAAACTTACCTTAGTTCTACCAGTGCCAAGTCGCCGTTTGGCTAATGAAGCGGCTTTGTGTGATTCATATTCAAGGAAACAGAAACCACGATTCTTCTTCTTATCATCTGGTGAACTATAGATTATAACTTCAATAAGGCCGGCTAATTTGGAAACAATGCAAAAATAGTCAAAACAAAAAAAGGAAAGTTATTGTCGGGGAAAACAAAAGTATATTTTATGAAAAAGTTTCAATTTTATTTGGGTGTGTATAAAAAACACCAACAAAAAATACAACAAAAATTCTTTAACGTTTTAAAATTTAGATTTGCTCTATCAAGCGAGCGATAGTAGGAAATTGTTTTCCTCAATTTGAAAATATTTTTAATTATTTAATTTCATTGATTTAAAAATATATTGTTTAGTTGTTTTAAAACCAATGCCAAAAACGCTTTTTCTTTTGATTTTGATAAATTCCGACGATTTCTTTTTGTATTAAAAATTATTGTGTTATAATTTTAAAGCAACTTAAAATTAAAACTTGGAAACACTTATTTATAATTTGTATTATAGTTTTTTTATAGTTCTTTGTACATTGTTTAGGACTTGGTTTAGTTTGAAATTTATAGATATATATTTTTTGGTTTTAAATTGATAACACCAAAGAAACAAAACATAAAATACACATAGAAAATTATAAGACATATGGAATATTGTAAAAAAGAAAACTTATATACTTAACCACAATTAAAACACATTTATTTCAGAAGACAAGTATAGAGAAATGTTGAGAATAAAAGTAGATGGTATATATTGTATATTGTTGTAGTTTACATAGTATTGAAAGTAAAAGCAAAGAATTTTTTTTGGAATTTTGATATTTTTTTTATCGAAGTGGTGTAGATAGAATAGTCTTATAGTTTACCAATGAAATAGATATAGATATATGTAATTTCTTTAGACGTTTACTTGAGAGGTGAGGTGGGGAAAAGATATATTTTAAGTTGTTTGAAGTTGAGATTTTGAAAAATATGTAGTCCTTTGTTGTTGGGAGTATTTGATTTGCTTAATTGAAAGTTGTCTCCAGTCATTATCATTAATTCATCTTCTTTTTACTGCTGTGTGCATCGATCGAAATTCGATTTTGATTGTAATATACAAAAAAAACAGGACTTGTTTTATAGGAAATAAAATAATTTGTTTCTATATTTTTTGTAGAGGGAGAGGGAAACTCTTGCTCCAAATAAGATGAGGCTAAAACGCTTTAATAGCAATTATTATTCCAGAGCTAGATCCAAAAAATGGTTCTGTAAAATTTTTAAGACGAACTAGAAATGGGTTTTTCGTAGGATATTGATAAAGCAGACTACCAAACAATAAAGTAAGTTCGGCCGGACCGAACTTTCAATACACTCCACCATGTGGAATAAATTCGGAAAATTTAAAAAAAAAACAAAAAAATAAAAAATAAAATTTCTGTTAAAATCTTAAAAATACCGAATGTAGCCGCCATAATTTTTACATTATATGGGGACTATACCAAAACGTGGACCTACATGGCCCATTTTCAATACCCAAAGTCCTGCAGACATTATATACATTTGAGTAAAATTTTATCAATCTGCTTCATTTCGTTCGGAAGCTAGAGTGATTTCCACAGATGGACAGACGGACGGAAGGACAGGGCTAAATCGTCTTAAAATTTAACGCCGATCAAGAATATATATACTTTGTGTGGTCTAAAATGTATACTTCGAGGTGTTCCAAACGGAATGACAAACTTAATATACCCTCCCATACTATGGTGAAGGCTATAAAAAGAATTTTGGATAAATCGAAATGAAGCCTACTTTTAGGCGAAACAAGTTTTATACAAAATAATATGCTGAGAATTTCGATTTCAATTTACTATTTTTATAAAATTGTTGAAACTATTTGTAAAAGTTCAATGTGAATTTATAAGCTTTATTGTTGTAAATTTATTATTTTGAAAAAGCGTTTTAACCTCTACCTTAAATTAGGTTTATTATCAGGTGAAGATTATATTTCAAAATTGTTTTATTTTATGTACATAACTTTGGTTTGCTTTTGAAGACAAAAAGATTAGAAGAGAGGGGGCAAGGCAAAAGAGATAGAAAGTAAACCCAATAATAATTGTATTTTTTAATTTTGTTCAATTTTAATTTCTTACCAGTTTTGTTAACATTTTTGTTACTGTAGCTCTTCAATTGTACCAAAAAAGTCAACATTGAATTGCATTTTCTAAAATGAATTAATTTTATAAAAAATATACTCTTATTTTTAAAAGCGAATTTGGCATTTGGTTTTTTTGTTTTTTTTTTATTATATGATAAATTTCTTAATAGTTTTAAAATTTAATTTTCATTTTTTACAAACAAAAATTGTCAAGCTACAGAGTTAGTCAGAGGAATGGTAGCAAAAAATATTTTCAATTTTTTCTTATTGTTGTATTTTTTGACTTGTTGTTTATAATTACGAAAAGATAATGGGAAATTAATCTTTAATATATAAACAACAAAAATTCCAATCACAAAATTTCATCTTTCTCGATTTATTTTGAAAAGAATAATAGTTTCTTTTTGATTTTCCTAAAGAAAGGGTGGTGTTGAGGACTAATGGAAAAAAATATAATTTTCACCTGAAGATGAAGATTTTGTAAGTAGAATTTTTATGTTCATGTCCCAGATAATAATTATTATGAGTGGAAAGCGAAAATTGCAAAATTTTCACAAAAATCCAATTATTCATTCGACCAATTGGCTTCACATTTCTTGTTTTTTTTTTATTTGTTACTGTTTTTTTAACATTTATGCAACTTACGCTTTATATAACCAAATTGTATAACCAATTATATTTGTTACTGTTTACCAATTTATTATCACCGATTAAAGAAGTTAGGTTTGATTTACACTTTTTTGTTTTTTTAAAGGTAGGGGGTTGGTTGGTTAATTTATTTATTATTTTGTGGGGGGAAAGTATTGTTTTTTTATTTTGTCCTGTTCTTTCTTTTTTCTTCTTTGAGATATTAAATGTTATAATTTTTCAGTTTTTTAGATTTTGTCTTTTTTTGTCAAAATTCACCACTTACGTGCATGTTTAGAAAATTCCTCAATTAATTCATCATGATCTCTATTCTTAGGTATATTGCCGACAAAAAGCCGGTGATTATTAAATGATATCGTAACACCAATCTTTTTGCCTTTCCGAATTTCATAATCATTCAGCTGGAAATTGTTAAAAAATTGTAGCAAATACACAACAACAGATACACAAAACACACAAAGAGAGGGGGTGGTGGTGGTGTTGGGGGGAGAGATATATTATGCACAAAAACAAAAACTAATCGCCTTAGAATTTCCGTAACGATTAAGTTAGTGTTTTGACCTTTCCATTAACGCAAACAATTCGAAATACTTAATAATTTATTTGAAATATTTAAAAATAATATTTCAGTCGAAATTCAAATAAAAAAAGGTTTTCAACCTTAACATTAGATTTTGACAAATTTTCCATCAATCACTGAATAATTTGCAAAACATTTAAATATACATTGTTTTTTTTTTTTTTTTTTTTTTTTTGAATTTTAAACTGACTTATTTTGAAAAATCTGTGAGAAAATGGAAGGGGTGTGCAATCGTTTTGTTTCCAATGGACAAATCGGAATTTTTTGTAATGATATTTACGTGCCAAATAATAACGGAAAATAATATATGTATATATTCAGAAATATTATTAAAATAAATTTCGATCTCCTTTTTTTGTCAAACATACTAAATTTTTTTTACAATAGTTTCAATAATATAGTATTGAAAGATTGTTTTCAATGAAAATGAATAAATTAAAATAAATAATTTTTTTGATGGAAAATTAAAAACACAAAACCAAAATTCGAATATCTACAATATTGATATTGAAATTTAGAAGTTAATTATAGTAAGAAAGTGCGTTTTTTTAGATTTGTTTATATATTTTTAAAAGACAAATTGCAGGGGAATATACTAATTTTAACTTAATAGAAAAACTGTTAGTTTTGGCATTTATCGAATACTAAATTTCGACCATTTAAAATAACAAATTATAATTAATATTAATGACACAACCCATATTTGTGGAAGTTATGCCATTTGTTTTTGAATTCGTAACTTTGACCCTATGGCAACGTCTTATCAGGGTGAGATGGAAAAACCAACTTCAGCCTGCTGTCATTTCTAAGCCACCCGTCCGACAGCTGTTAAAATTATTCCCGTGATAGCTCATTATATTGTTTACAAGCGTACAAAAGCATTTTCGTGGGAACTTTCCAGTAAAAAAGTTATTCGTGATGGAATTTAAGCGTAATAGGGTGATTTCTTTATATTTGACTGGAAAACAACAAGTGGCTATCGTTAGAGCACTCCAGCATTTAAATGTGAATAAATCTTTTGTGTCTCGTACCACCGCTCGTTACCGTGATACTGGTAGCGTAGCCCGACATCAAGGAAGTGGACGGAAGAAAACAGCAACATCAGCAGATATGGTTCGAAAAGTAAAGAACTTACACCGCAACAGAAAGAAAAATAACTAAAAAGAGCTAAAGAGTTGCTTCGCTTGACCGAAAGAGGTGAACTGCCGAATTTGGTTTTCTCCGATGAGAAAACATTCGTTGTCCAGCAGTTTGTAAACAAATAAAATTGTCGTGTTTGCTGAAAATGTGCACCAAATGCCGAATATTATCGCTAAAATATTCTGGAGGGTGTATTAAAGCCTTGGGCACGCAAACATTTTGTCCGCAGACCTTGGACATTCCAACAGGACTCAGCCACCCAAGAATGGTTACAAAATGAGGTTCCTCGCTTAATTTCCTTTGTGCGGCCACGAAAATCTCCGGATACCAATCTGTTGGACTATTGTATCTGGAGTATTTTGAAAAGCAAGGTTGGCACTAAAAAATACCAAATGTGAATCACCTCAAACAAGCGTTTCTTCTGGAATGGGCCAAAATAAACTAAACTTATCTTAAAATTTGATGCTATTTCTGACATTTTTGTTTTCATTCAATAAAATTAAAAAAAAAAATAAATAAATAAAAACTATGGCGTTTGACTTTGTTGAAGTTTTTTTATCTCACCCTGTATGTTTTTAAATGAACAGTAGTATAGTATAAAATGTATTTATAACCGGTAAAAAAAATATTTTCAGTAGCTGGTATTTCAATGCCATCGAATCCCCACCATGGTAAGGACTATGGAGAGTGCACGAACCCTTCGAACCTCCACGGTCGGTTAAAATGAGAATTTTTTATTTTATTTTTTTTTTAATCAACTGTCAAAATGTTTGCCTCACATTTGTGTTTATTTAGCAAGTTCTTTGTTAAGAGAGAATTAAGTCTTAACTTCATCCAGAGACTTAGTAATGTATACGATAATTATTACGAATTTATAAACGATCAATGTTTTTTTTAGAAAAACAACGTTAATACATTCCACCATACAATTTGCCAGAAAATATATAGTTATTAATAAGGTAAGGCAATAAAAAACATACTATGTATGATTTAGTCTAAACTGTGTACAGTACGTGATATTTTGATTTAGAATAGAATACAAGTTATATATATTTATTTTAATTCTCATACAAAAGTTAATGACTGGAGATTTGTAGAAATACTATTATTCTTATCGGTTTATTGTGAATGGCCAAATGAAATAATTTGGAACATGTAGGAATTAAGAACTTTAATATTTATAAAATAATAGATTTTAAAAATGTAATAGTTTTATATTTTGTTTAAACATCAAATATTGAATGAATATGATGTGTAAAATATGCTTACAAAATGTAATTTGTGAAAGTGAATCAACAATAATAAGAACATAATACAGATGGGTTATCAGCCCCGTTTAAAAAAAGGTTAACGAAATGTTTTTTTTTAATGCATAAATAATTTTAATATTAAAGGATACAAAGAAAGTTGAATAAAGCACTGGGAGTATTTTTGTACATACTTTATCATTGCAATCCCAGACAAAAAATCATTACAAATCGGGTTAGCCCCCACTTTTTAAAAATGGCAGGTCCTAGATTTTCTAGCTGTAATTTGGCCACCAAAAATCGTTATGTATATATAAAGACTTTTAGTGGCAGATAACTAATTATTTTGTACGATATGTTCTTGTTAAAATAATGGGTTGGCAACCCGATTCCTGGGATATTTGTGCTACGCTTAAATATTAATTATTGTTTTTTTTTAATAAAAACGTAGCCCAAATTACAATGACGATGCGAAAAATATTGCCCTACACTTATCTCATTCTATTTAGATACGATGAAATAAAGTAGAACGCAGAATTTGAAAAGATAGTCTCGGAATAATGGATTTATGTATTGGTGCAAATGATAATATTGATGTTATGCGTGAAGTATAATAATTTATTAGGAAAGTAATATATAAATTATAATGTTTATGTACACATATAATAAAGCATAACTAAAAATATTTTTTGGCAAAAAAAAAAATTGTAATTTGAAAGGTCGTACACAAAAAGAATAATTTTACACTTTCTTCAGTCTCTCCTGAATTTCCTTCTTTCATTTGACGTCAACATAGAATTTGTTTTGTTATATATGCTTGTTCCTTAATTTGAAAATTATAATCATTAGAAATAATAGGGGGAAAGAAAATGCAGTGCGTCATGACATCTCCTATGTTTACACAATCCTCACCAGGACACACAATTTTGAGGCTATGTCCACACTTGCTTTTACCATTATAAAAAAGCTCCATAATAATTGATTTCTTATAATAAAGAAATTACCATTATAAATGGCTTCAACGTAGAAGTAGCTTAAATTGAATTTAAAAAACGCAGCATACTTTTAGGCTAAAATTCAACGTAGACTACAAAAGAAACGAACCCGCCCAGAGCCAATTGGTTTTTTGTTAGCCAATTACAAATACATTATAGCCAATTGGATTTTTGTTTTATATGCCAATTTGCGTACAATAAATATTATTTTAACGCTTACCATTATCATTAATATCATGGAAATTCTTATCGAAATAACATGAAAATCCATGACAATTATTAATTTTAATAATTTGAAAAAAAGAAGTTATAGAATTTTGTATTCATAAATTTACCTGTTAATTTACCAAATTCCTCTAAAATCTCCTCTTTGCCTTTTGATTTGGGTATATTGCCTACAAACAGGCGCAGGTTGGGCACACTTATATTAATTTTCAGACACTTGCCGGGTTTTATTTCATGATTATCGAGCTAAAGTTATATATATTTTGGGGAAAGAGAAAAAGAGTGTGGGGAAAAACAATAATAATAATGGGATTTCTTGATGTTGGATATAATTGTGTTGTAACAAAAAAAATAAAAACTTAAGTAATTAATACATTGAGGAAATTAAAAAATATTAATGAAGATCAATTTTAAATATGAAAATAAATGTAATAAAATAGAGTGAAAATGTGTAAGATTATGAAAAAAAGATGATTTTACAAATTATACAGGAAATTACTAAAAAATAAAAAAAATACAAATAAATTAACTACAAATATAATAAAGCAAATATATATGTCAATTGTATTTCAAGAACCTAAGAAAATTCATCTTTTCATATTACATTTATTCAATATATTCCCCTCATTGAATCGAGAGTAACATTGAAGATCCAATTCTAAAAGATTCGATTGATGCCATACGAAGACGTGGACCTGCACCGACAATTTTCTGTCATAGGCTGTAGTATTCATTACGAACATCAAATACCAAATTTAAAACAATTCCGGTGAATAATGTCGCTAAAATTATCAAAATGCCGAATATCGGGAGGTACCGTTATGTGGGGGCTATACGAAGACGTGGACCTACACACTACGAACTTCAAGTACCAAATTTGAAACATTTCCCGTGTAAAATGTCGCTGAAATCATAAAAATACCGAATATTGGGAGGTACCAATATATCGGGGCTATACTAAAACGTGGACCTACATAACCCACTTTCAATACCAAAAGTCCTGCATTTTACATTTGAGTAAAATTTTATCAACCTATTTCATTTCATTCGGAAGCTAGAGTAATTTACCTAGATGGACAGACGGATGGACATCGCTATATATACATAGAATTTTATGCTGATCAAGTATATATTCTTTGTGGGGCCTACAATGTATATTTCAAGGTTTTACAAACGGAATGACAAACTTAATATACCCTCCATACTATGGTGGAGTGTATAACAAATTTATTCAAAGATATTTCAAAAGACTGTTCTCCTTTAAGTTAAGCTATTTTGTGGTAGGGAAACATGTTAGTTTAAAAGATCTGCCTTACGTTACGTCATTGACTAATTTGTAAATAGCTGACATATTAAAGCGGTCTGTTGATAAAACAGTGTTATTCATTATTCTAATATCATGTTATCACGAAGCAAATTGTGCATCTAATTTAAGAAATCAGCAACTACTTCAACCCAAGCTAACTGGACAATTCAACTGAAAATTGTCTATAGACTGTCATAATAAATTCCCAATAATGTGTGAAATGTTATGACTTCAATATGTAATCTAATATTTTTAACTTAGTACAATAGGTATGAATATTTCCAAAAAAAAGTTATTTGTACTGCAAATTTAAAATATATATCATTTTACAAATCAGCTGATTATACAATTGACATATTTGCTAAGAGAAGAAAAAATGTATAACCAAAACAATATAAAATAAAATTAATGTTAAAGGATATAAAAATGGAAGGATGGTGCTTTTTTGTTTTTGTATTTACCAATTTTGAATTTTGAAGATTTCTAATGTTCCGAAAATTTTGCAGCGATTCCAAAATATTTTTTTTTACGATTTTTTTAATAAAAAAATGCAATGTTAACACGTGTAAACTAACTTAAACATATGATTAAACGAAGTGGTGATAGGAAAATGGAAGAAAATGGAAAATTAAAGAAATTTGGTTAGATTTTATAGGGGAGGGCATGCTCGTTTTTGTTTCATCAAAACGCTTATAGTAAAATAAAACCAGACAAATTAAACTAACAGCTGAAAATGTAGACAAAACTGTCTTTAACTACATGAATAGGAGGCAATGACACGATGACAAACAGATTAAGGAAAATATGCATTTTTGTTATCTGTTTTCAAATCAAACAAAGAGAAGACTGAAATATGAACGCTGGAGAAAAATGGAGGTGAGTGAGATGGAAATGTTAGGTAAACTCAGCTACTACAAAAGTTTTCAATAATAAAGAAAAAAAAAAAACGTTTTTTTTTTTCGAACATCCATGTGACTTTTGAAAACAGTTTAAATGCGACGAAATGCTATGGTGGAGGTGGAATGAATGCAAAGAGGAGCGAGAAAAAATGTAGAGTTTATTACATAATAAATTTTCCTTGCGCCATGATAAAATAAATTTAGAATTTTATTGTAGTTGTTGGTAGCCCATTTGATTTGTAATGTAAAATTCTGCTACTGGCATTCTGTATAAATAACCTAAAATTGTGCCCAAATGTACGAAGAAATAACAAGGACTTGGAAGTGAACAAAAAAAAATATCATTGTTCGTCGTCATCGTCGTTTTCAATGATCCTTGTTACAAGAATAATTGTGCAAGTAGTAGAAAAAAATATGTATATCTTATAAATTAAGGGAATATACAGTCTTAAATAGGATACTATTCTGAATGTAGTATGTGATGAATTAAAGTGAACCTTTAAATTTAATTGTTTCTCTAATTTATCACATACCATGTAAATTACGGGATACGATACAATACAAAAAGGGAGGGGTTTAAACTAAGTAGTAAAAATTAAAAAATGCAAGAGGAAAGGTTTTGTGTAATTTTTTGACTATCAAAAGGAATTAGACTTGTTTTGGTTTTTGGAATTTTGGGTATTTTTTTTCGAGAGAGACTTCTTTTCAAACCGCAAAAAAATTGTTCATTGTTTTAAATATTTCAAACATAGATTTAGTTTCATAAAACTTTTCTTTTTTTTTTTTTTGATCTATATAACTTGGGAGAAAAAATCTCATGCAACTTGCATCAAGCCAAAAAAATGTAGAATATCAACAACTATTAAATGTTTAATGGCTCAGTTATGAATAATAGGAATACATCATTCATTATGGAGCTTCCTTTACCATTCATAATCAAGCCATTGCATGGATTCTTTTCAAACTAAAAGTTTGCTTCTTGTTATAATAAAAATAAGCTAAATAAAGTATACAAAATTTCATGTAACATGTAAGCATATAAGAAGCTTGTAGTAAAACAAAAAGAAAAATAGTTTGTATTCCAATTGAAGATCGTATAGAGTTAGATACCTAAAATACTATTTTAAATACAATTAAATATTATTTTATTTTTTTCTATAGATGTAACCAATAGTCGTATGCCTAAACAAGACAAATATGTAGAATTTTTTAAAAAATGAAACCTAAAATATCAATTATTATAATAAATAATTTACTGAACTTCTTATTGACAATGCATTTTACAATTGTAGCAAAAAAAAAAAAACAAATAGTTACAGTTATAGGAACGTGGCAAAGATTTATACATATATGTAGGAAGAAGGAGGAACGTAGTGACAGAGATTGAGAGTTATAAGGTTCTGAATTAAAGTAATTGATATAAATACCTGTTTAACGGCATTCGATGCAGCTTCTCTTGTGGTGAATGTTACAAATGCATAGCCACGATTTGTACCGGTCATGGGGTCCATCATTAATCGTAGATCCCAGATGGTGCCACAGTTTTCGAACAGGGGTATGAGTTCATCTTCAAACATATCTTTTGGTATTTTCCCACAAAATACCTCGCAACCGTTACCTGGTACTGGACCATCCCAATTGGGTGGTGGTCCACCATATTTGCGCTGGCCTATACAAAAAAGGAGAATTGTTGGTGATTATGGCTACACTAGAAAACATGCCACTTATTAAGTACGCATTTGAAACATCAGTCGACTACCCAACATTCATAAAAAGTTAAGTGTATGACGTAATTAATTATCGCAAAATTTCATTATCGATAATATATACTCTACTTAAGGTAGAGTTATTTATTCAAATTTGTGCTGTTGCAGATGAATTTATTTAGCAAAAGAAACAACTAGAAATGGATCCAGCTCCTTCGTAAATCTCTTTTTTCTAACTTCATTGGTTCCGATTATAACTCTTTTTGTTTTGAGTTGAGTTTATTAAAAGGCAGTATCAAGTCTTTCTGAGAACCAAACTTGTATTTTTTGAAAATATGAAGTATAGTACGACAGCAATAAAATATGTTCGCTAGTGTGTACCATATTTAGTACAACAATGTTTTCTACTTACCCGTGGTTACATCTAAAGTATAACCGGTACGTTCTAAGATTTTTTTGATTTTTTCCTCATCTGGTCCTTTAACTTGCACTGTTGTGGCTGGTGTCGGTACACCCTGTTGACTGGCTCGACTTTTTTGTCGATAGGTTTTCATAACCCCACATAAATAGGCAGATTTATTCGATACATGTTCCAAATTTGATTCAAGGAACTGACTTAATACATTCAAGGCACCATCAACCGGAAACTCTTTGAGCGCATCCAGTGCGCGTTCATCTAATTCTACATGGGCGAGTTTACCTGTTTTATAATATCATCAAGTTTACCGGCAACCTAGAAGAAAGTTGAAGGGATATTTAAAAAATAGATTAATTAAAAGTATATTAAGTATGGCACTTCTGTCTTTTTACTTGATTAAAAACTTTCTTAAATTATTCAGAAATCGGACAGAGCTAGTTTCTGGAAAGAAAAATCGAGGCCCTGTTTCCGTGTGTCGATACGAAAGTGAATGCGCAAGAAAAACACCATTCTCATGTGTTTGTGGAACTTATTGGAATGGTGTTTCTTTCGCATGGACATACAGAAACAAGCTCAGAGTCTTCAAAAGGAGGTAAATGATTAAAATCGTTTACTATTCAGATACTTCACTTACTTTTTTATCTAAGCCATATTCCAACAGTTTTGGGTAATCCTGTGTTCTTTCACCATCACCACGATCTTCTGATTTTTGATTAATATCTTCTACCAGTCGCCATTGCCTTCCGCCATTTCTACAAAAGAAGAAAATAACGTCAAAATTTAAATTTTTATTTATATATTTATTTATTTTTTTATTAAAAAAAATACATGTTTGCATGTTGGGTATCTAAACCAGTCACAATGCGTATAACTTATATTGACATTTAATATTGTCACTGACCAATTGCAGATAGGATAGAGCTAACAAAAAAAACCTGATAATCTCCTCTTGTTACATGCTAAGTTATTTTGAATTTATAATATGTAACCTCAATGACCCGAGCAAAATGAGTTCATTAATATCGGTTTCCTGTTGCCATTGCCTCGATTTTGCACGATGCTTAATGGAAATTTCAGACTGCATATGGCCGACTTCTAAAAAATTGTAATTTGTCAATCAAATTTGTTTTGTAAACACATGAAGCATTGCAAATCATTAAACAACAAAACAGAAAATACTTAACTCACAAATATCACCTTGAAAGTTCGTTTGAACGTTAAAAATTGCACGTTGAGAGTACATATAAAAACAACAACAAAACAAAGAATTTTTCAGCTAAAATTGTTATATTACCACGATCATTAACATATGCACACACACATGCAAAGCAGAAAACCAAAGCAAACCCCCCCCCCACTTCATCACTACCAGGCACAGGACGGCGGGCATGGTCACCCCAGAGTGTGAGGCAAATTACGAAGTGAATGGCCGACCACCGATTAGGCGAACTCTGCGTTTTTGCAAAAATAAAAATCTACTACAATTGTGTTGAAACGAAAACACGAACATCAAACAAAAATCGGCAAATCACCAAATGTCTGCCATTTGCAAAATGCATGAGTACATGAACTCGCCTCGCTGCTGTTGGCTTCAGCATCATTTTCCTATTGAGTTAACACATGCTGCAACAAAATACAAGAAGATGCCGTCTGTAACATCTTTGATTAGGAAAATGCCTTTAAACATCATTTTTATCATTTAACATTATTTCATAATACCAATCCTCAAGTGCTCTTTTAATGGTAATTAACCACAACCGCAGACAAGTAGCATCAGACATTGTAAATGTTATAAAAAGATAAGAATATTCTTCAACAATAACCACATAATACGTAAGAGAGGCGTCTTAAGGTTTTCACCAGTATTACCAATAATAATAATTGTTTTCCAAAATATTTCATTCAATCAGTCTATGTTACAATTATATTACCGAATTAATATAACCCTGTCTTTTTGTTGTTATTCCTAATTTCATCATTTGTGTGTTGCCCTGTTATCTCAAAGAGCATAAGTTCAAATACCCCAACTCATTAGACAAACGAGCTAGCCAAAATACATAATAATAGGCCTATAATAGAAAAAAAAAAACAAAAAAAAAAACCGGCGAAATTTGCAAACAAAACAACTATAAGAAAATAAACATAAACAAAATAGATACAAAAAAAAAAAAACCTAACTTATAATACATGGCGGTGGGTGTGTAGCATTACGTCTCCCTCCTCACCGTTATTATTCTAATAAGAGTTTGGTGATTGACAAGAGAAACACTAGACAGCCGAGACAATCGGCCGTTTGGTTGGTATGTGTCAATAGATTGGCCATTATCAAACATAAAATGACGTCATAACAAATGCTGAATACATTTTAATAGTTTCTTTTTTATACATTGTTGTTGTTTGTTTTAATGTGTTAACTGAGTGTTGATGTCAGTGGGTCGATTGGTTTGTAGAGAGTGCAATTCACATAAGGAGCATTGATTCTATAGTATAATAGTAATCTAATGTTGAAAATACATTAATTTTACAATGTCTAATTTAATATAATAATTTTTATAATAACATAATGTATCTTTAAATATTTTCTGATGAAAATGTTACATGATATTATGTTTCTTAACTCAATAGACTCAATGTAGACAAGCTATATGACATTTTGCTTTAAAAATGTTGTTGCACTAGGCTACCATGGCGTTGCACAACTAGTAATCCTTATAGATAAAGCTGTACGGCCACACATATGTTTGTAAAATGCGTTTGACAAGAAGTAATTTCGGTGTTG